CGCCAAGAGCCTGCAAATGACCCTGTGAGTAAATGGATACAGGATCACATGGCCCCCAAGCCAGGACCAACAGCTGTTTGACACCCAGTTGTTGCTATCTTTGCATCTCCACATGAGAGCATCTGGGAACAACCAGCAGTGCTGGAGCAGCCAGAGTGTTACTAAATTCTGCATTGCACTAACTTGACCCTCCTTGACTGCGGTGTGCAAATTTGCTCATTAAGATTGACCAACCAAAGTAGCATCCTTTTCATGGAACCCTTTCTAATACCTTGAGCTGAAACATGTAAGTAATTTTATTTTCCTCCAGTTTAGATCAATGCTAACAGCTGATTCTTTTTGTCATTTAAGAATTCTTTGACTACCTACTAATAAATATTCTGACCAATATCATCGTCTCTGAAAATTTGCTTTGCTCTTTACTTTTTACCATAGGTGCTTGGTATCAAACCAGAGAAATAACTCAAACCAGCACTGCTTGCCACAAAATAAAAATTGTTATAATAGGATTTAATTCAAAGCTAATAGGAAGCTTTATTGAGCAAGTCATGGTAATTTGTTCTATAATTCCAGTTCAGAGTCAGTGCCTCTTCACATCCAGGAAGTAATTTTTAAAATCAAGTCTAAATCATCTGTATCAAAAGTTTAAAAAGCACAGAGTAGGGCTTCCCTGCTGGTGCAGTGGTTAAGAATCCGCCTGCCAATGCAGGGGACACGGGTTCGAGCCCTGGTCCTGGAAGATCCTACATGCCACGGAGCAACTAAGCCTGTGGGCCACAACTACTGAGCTTGCGCTCTAGAGCCTGCAAGCCACAACTACTGAGCCTGCGTGCCGCAACTACTGAAGCCCGTGTGCCTAGAGCCCGTGCTCCACAACAAGAGAAGCCACCGCAATAAGGAGCCTGTACACTGCAACGAACAGTAGCCCCCACTCACCACAACCAGAGAAAAGCCCGCGCACAGCAACGAAGACCCAATGCAGCCAAAGATAAAATAAATTTAAAAATTAAAAAAAAAAAAAAAAGCACAGAGCACATGCAGCAAAAAACATCCCAGCCTCAAGAATCATAATTCAGTCTCAGTAGAGTAATAGCATGCAAATTACTTACAAAAATGTGAGCTTTGACTGCTAGGTTACCAGGAAAAACAAATTATTCAGAAGCAACTATAATGAGTTTCTAGAAATTCTGTAGCTCTTTCTTTGCCTCCCTTCAGCACACGGTGCTCCTATAAGGCCCATAAACCCCAGCATGAAACTGCTGGTCTATATTTAGTGTTAACTTAGCCAAGCAGTGTAAGATTCCAAATAGTGACTTTTTTTCACAGTGCCTAAGGTTTTTAGTAAATATAGTACTGGGACTATGCTTTAAAAGGAAAAAAACCACCATGCCTTGATTTAAATGGTAACTGATGAGGTTCTGATTGGACTGAGATTTACGTCCTTATTTGGCAGATGTGTAAACTGACACAGTTCCTGCACTTCTGCCAGGAGGTGCTCTCATATATAAATATCGGGTAGCAGGCTGGAGCTGCCACTCTGACAACTAACTTGCACAGGGCTCCAGTCAACAGGAAAAGAATAAGGCTGACCGTCTAACCAGGATGAGGGCAGATCAGAGGACGCCTAGGGCTTGCAGTAGCTACAGAAGCGGACTGTGCGTGGGAGATTGCATGGCTACAGACCCAGTGCCCCCACTGCCGGCAGTGGAGGCGCTTTATCTCATCAACTTTCTTTCCTTTTCAAAGGCTTTATTCTGTGAGTTTTTAACGCATCCTCCTTTCTCAGGAATGTCAGCCTCTGACGTGGTTCCCTCTCACACCTGCCAAGGACCATCTGCCCTCTGGGGTACATAAAAGCAGCCCAGTGAGGAGTAGACTGTACCACAAGCCTACCCCCCTGACTATCTGAGCAGGATACTGAGGGTTAAGTGGTAAACGGATATATAACCCTTTATAATCCTACCCTCCATTGCCATTGCTAGACAGACATTAATTCATCCTTGAGACATATTGCATGTCAATTAGAAAATGTTTGCTCCACAAAATTCCTTTTACGTCTGTATTCAGTATGGACCTCACTCTCCTTTTGGGGGAAAAGAGTGTCATCTTTCAAAGCTTCATCTATACCTGAGGACCAGTTCATGAAGAAAGACAATGTAACTAGTAACTTTTTCTTAGAAGCATATATTAAAATCGATACCAAATTTCTTGGAAAATGAGAATGTTAGCTATTATTTTAATTATCATATTCAGCTTTAATCTCCCAACTACCTCATCTGTTTTAAACCATCTATTCTTTGAAAAAATAATAGGATGGCCTCATTTTGAACATTGACTGTTTTTCTCTCTCCTGTAAACCTAACCCTTGAAGTATCAGTCACCTCCACTCCGCCTCAAAGGTGAGGAAAATGGAGACTAAGCAACTCCTCCTGCCAAAGTCTGAATTCAACCCTATTTTACACCAGTGAGGGGGATGAGATTTTTTATGGCTTATGAGCCGCTAGACTTCTGGAGAACCAGTGAAGAACAAAACAAGACAACCTATCTCATTTTATCTACTCTGTATCTGAAAGGCCACATCCAGAAGTTTTGAGTCACAAAAAGAAAATAGGTATTCTCACATGAACTGTTCAACCTGGGGATATTTTCAAGTATTTCTTGCCTTTTCTTTCAAATATTATATCTCATTCCCAGGAAATTAAAACATGCTACCAAAGACTTGAGACAAAGATACCAGTTGGTTCAAAATTAATGACTGAACCTCGAAGAACTTATTAGGCAGGGACCATTTTAATTTCCTTTAAGCCAGCAAGATTAACCAAGAATCAAGGAATGGATTGGTCTCTCATATACCATTTTACTGCCCTGAAGAAAACGCAAGCATTCTTTCACATTGAATCCCCAGTTATCCTGTCTAGCAACTACCCATCAATTTGACAAAAAAAGGCACCCGTCTATAAATTTAATATACAAATTAACACTTGTTTATATCTTCTTCCTCCTAAAATCCCAGTAAAAAGGCAGAATAAAAATTATAAAACCACAAGTATAAAAATAGGAGGAAACAACATTGAGCAAGATTTCAACAAATGTATCAAACATGGGAAAGAGAGAGTGGTTGGTACCTGCCTTAGCAGACCTCCGGAGGACCATCACTGCTGAGTGAGGTGACAGACCCTGCAGAATTCAGGCAGGCTCAGGAACTGGAGGCAAAAGTGAAGTATGGAGCTAAACACAGGCAGGTAATTTCACGTTAGCTGAAAATATAATGCAATAAGAAGACTGGAAAACCATGTTACAGAAATCTCCCAAGAAAAAGAAATAAGGCCAGACACTCAACCCAGCAGCTCTAGCATCTCATGGGAGTTCCAGATCAAAGAAAAGTGTATGTGTGTGTGAAGGGGGAGGGGAGGTCAAGAACTTAGTATTTTCCAGACTGCCAGAGTCCACCAAAGCACAGTACCACCCGCTTTTAGAACAGTACAGATTCAAAGAACCAAAGGAAAAGGAAACAAATCAGAAATTAAAATCCCATCAGATATCACAGCAACACTTTAATTAGAATAGAGCAATGCCTTCAAAATCCTGAATTTGGTTTTCTACCTAGAATTTTATATACCAAGCCAAAGTATCTGTCAGACATTTAAAGTCTCATTTCCAGAAGTTACTGAAGGAAGTGTTCCACTTTAACAGGAAAGTAACCTAATAACGAACACAGGGGGTCCAGGAGATGTGTAATCCAACTCGCGAGAGGAAAACAAATCCCAGGATGATGAAGTCTCAGGAAACAGCTGTATACTAAGATGAGAGAGAAGTTAGTCTAGACTGAAACAAGTACTCTGTTCGGCTCTGACCATGTGGAAGGTAGATTAAAGAAGAATTTTACAAATTTACTTGGGACTATTTTGGAAAAGTTAGCGATATGTGTGTAAAACCAAGACAAGATGTCCTATGAGAATGGAAATGTAAGCATAGTAAACCATCTAGTTCAGAAATGAATAGAAATATGGTCACTACAATGCAAACGATGCTAATTTAACCAAAAAAAAAACAAACAAAAAACCAAAACAAAATGGGAGAAGGGAAAAGTAAAAACGCAGAAATCTTCACCTATCGAATAAAGAAATAGCTGTGTAAGCATACTACTTAGAAATCTGAAACCAAGGTGCTAGGAAAAAGAAACTATAAAGGCTGAAATGAAATGCCTCCTGAGAAATGGGAAAGGATGGCACAGGGAGCTAACTTCCTTATAAGCCTTGAAATACTATTATACTATGTGTATATATACATATATATCACTTTAATAAAAATAAAAATTCATTAATATTTTAAAATATACATATATGAAATTGAAATTTTAGAAAAAAAATATTATTTGCAATCTCTTCTCCATGGTTCTAACCTACTTGGAATATAAAGAGGTGACAACACACAATGCCAGGTTCGAGATTCCAAGTCTGTTTTCCATTGCACTGTTTCTGAGGGATAGAACTCATACTCCCAGAAGCAATAGTGGTTGCACAGGCCGGCCAATGATTTTCAATGAAGAGGGCACATCAGACCTTCCAGAAGAGGTTGAAGATGTGGCAGAGAGATGCTAGTTTAGAAAAAATACCTCTATGTTGGTCCTTATCTACATGCTTCCCCACCCCTCATCACTATTTTCTGCATTAATATAAAGAAATAAATCTATGAATTCTAAACTGCAGGTATTACTTGTGCAATGTAATTTTAATATAAAGTTTAATAATAACAAAACCCTAATACATTGTCAAAATGCTCACAACTTCCCATAAAGTAAAAAAATCACCCCATGGGCAACCAAGCAGCAACAGTCTTAATAGCTGGAAGGCCAATGATATATTGCTATAGTTTTTCATTTATTTTCATGTTTCCAAATATACAAAGCAAGTTCTGTTTCACTCTCTCCCTACCCCATTTCATCACTTTGAACTCTGAACTTCAAACCCATAAATGTTCCTCTATTAAAAAAGAAGCACTTTTAGTGTGAAAAGATCTTTATTTCAAAATAAAGGGCACAAGGTCTTACACAGCAGATAAAATTAGTGTTACTGCCCTCAGAGGTCAAGGCTAGCAAATCTTCTGGCATATACAAATTCATTATGAATAACAGATGGACTGAATGGCCTGTAAGTGCAGCTGTAAGGTCTCATGGTATAATTCCCTTTGTTGATCCCAGTAACAAAATTATTAGGTTCCATTTAAAATTGAAAATAATAGCAGCTTTTCCAGAAGATCTAGCTCCCAAAATTGTATCCAGAACTCATCTGTCTAAGATCTTAAGTTAAATACCTTGTATATCTATATCATTATAATCAATATTTCTGACAACCACAACGTAAGAAATTTAACCTCAGCTAATAGTTTTTCTCATCATGAAATCAAGTGAAATACTATATTTTTGCTCTCTTCATAAATAGAAAATGACCACACACTACAAACACTTTATTAATGTTTACTGATTATATATACAGAGAATATTCAATAACCAGAACTCACCAGTTGCAATACTACACATTAAATTATAATATAACCCCTACTACAAAAGCTATCTGTTGACCCAAGATAAAAAACTGTCTCTAGAGTTTAAATACATTAGAAATTATTATTTTTTTTTTAAAAAAAGGGAAATTAGAAAGTGGTCTTCAAATGCTAAAAGCCTAGAAGAATTCTCCAACATCTGCTCTCTTATCTCGACATTTGCTTCGGGCTTTTGTTCGAGCTTTGAAGGCGGCAGAATTATATAAATGCTGAAATGAAGAAAAGGAAAATACAGGTGAGCCACTAAGCCTTCAGATATTCTTATAAAGTTAAAAAAAAAAGATAAATAAAAAAATCACAAAGGAAAGAAATGAACTAATTTGACTCTAGAAATATTTTAAATGTTTATAAGACAGACACAAAGAATGAGGGGGAAAATTAACACATTATAGTTCATGGCTATTCTACATGAAAAAAAATAGCCAAACATGTAAAATACCAAGAAAATTCCAGCCAAAAAATTTTTTTAAAGTATATAAACATTTATTCTGATCAAGGAAAAGACAAATCATGAATTAATGTGAATAAAATACTCAACTTTGCTGTTAATTAAAATAATAAGGGAAACTATCATAAGGTTTCATTCAAACTAACAAATTTTTAAAATTATAAAACCCAATGCTGTCAAATATGTGTGTAATAGCTACATGCTTTCATTCACCACTGAAAATAATTAAAAATGATAGAATTATTTTGGAAGGTAATTTGGCAATGCATATCAAAAAATCATAATCAAGCCCTGTAGTCCCATGCAAGGATTTCTTCCAAGAAATAATTCAAAAGAGAAATTATGTAAAAATATTAGTATTTATTCAAAACAGTTTTAAAATACCCAACAATTATATGGCCATCAAAATGATCAAATGTAAATATTCTTTACAATATACAATTAAACAATTCAGACCCACTAGGATGGCTATAATTTAAAACAAAAATAAAACCAAAAAAGTGTTGGTAGGGATGTCAAAATTTGAACTCTTATACTGCTAGTGGGAATGCAAAATGCACTACAGTCACTGTAGAAAACAGTTTGGTGGTTCCTTAAAAAGTTAAACACAGAATTACCACGTGACCAAGCAACTCCACTCCTAGGCATACAACTAAAAGAATCAAAAACAGGTGCTCTAACAAAAACTTGTACATATATGTTCATAGCAGCACGATTTAAAAGGGGCAAAAAGTGGAAACAAGCCAAATGTCCACCAACTAACGAACAGATAAACATGTGGCATATCCACACAATGAAGGATTATTTGGCCACAAAAAGGACTGAAGTAATGACACGCTACAACATGGATGAACCTTGGCAACATTATGCTAAATGAAAAAACCAGTCACAAAAGGTCACATTATATGATTCTATGTATATGAAATATCCAGAATAGGTAAATCCATAGATAGAACGCACATTAGTGACTGTCAGCAGGTGGGGGGAGAATAGGGGAAGGGAATGGAGAATGAATACTTAATGGACATAAGGTTCCTTCTGAGGTGGTGAAAATGTTTGGAAACTAGATAGTGGTGACAGTTGTGCAACACTGTAAGTGTACTAAATGCCACTAAATTGTACAGTGTAGAATAGTTTTTTATGTTATGTGAATTTTACCTTAGTAAAAATAATTAAAATACAAGGGTTTTTGAAATGTTAAATAAAAATATTAACCACTATTTAATGTTACAAACTCTCTGAGCACATTTGTTTCCTCATTTGTAAAATGAATCTGGTACTTACTAAGTTTAGGCTCAGTTATCTGATACGAAAGAAGCACTGTGTAAATATTTATCCTTAACTATATAAACTTCATAAGCAAAAGGAAACAAAAGATAAAAATAGCTTCTATGTTAATAGGATTATGGATAAAAATTTTTCATCATAACCCTCCATACTCTAAATGCAGTGAAGTTTCTATACTTTTAGTCCAGCTACTCTGTGTCCGAAACATCATAAGAACTAAAATCTCACAGACATAGCTAAATACCTATCACCTGGCAGAATCAAAGCTTTGGCTCCACTTTTCTTCTGTGCATTTAGTTCTATTGAAAACAAAAACCAAACCTACCCTTTCAAAACGAGAAATCTTCATTGTTTTAAGTGTTGCAGCATCAAGCATCACTGGGGGTCCAAGTTCAAAAACATTGCGAAGGAATTCATTTGACTTAAATAAAAGAGAAATGCAATAAGTCTCAGTATTAAATATCAGCTCTTTTTTTTTAACTACATAAAGTGAAATCTGGTTAACAGAAGTTATGTAGAGCTTATAAATATGAATGTAAGTCACTTATTTTCTTTCTGTTTCTCGTAAGACCAAATGGTTTTCCAATGCCTTGAATTCAAGAAAGCTATGTCAAACTATCTGCTTCCCTACAAAGATATCAAGTGTTACAACAGCTATATAGATGCTCCACTAGGCTTACACAATACAAAAACAAAAAGAAGAGTTTCATGTTTATTAAATTTAACTTTTAAAAATAAACTTGCTATTTTGCATATCATATGCTGAAAACATTCTGTATATTCAAACTAACTTCAAAAGCCAGTTAAGTAAGGTAGATTTAAAACTCCTCCCTAATTTAAAAGCAAACATACAGAAAGGATGTCACCCACTCACCTGCAAGTGGTACTGCATCCCTGATCCAAGAACCTCCTTAAAGGTGTCATATGTATGTTTTTTGACCCAGCAATCAATATACATGCGTTCAGGACCAAATTTAACAGTTTCTGTTGGAAAATCCCGTTCCTGGCCAATAGAAGAACAACAATTGTAAGAGGAACCAAAATGACCTAAAGAGATCCTACATAAACACAATTTCTAAATAGACATGTATATGCTGAAATGAATAATGTGGTTTAAACCGATACCTCCATCCCTGAAATATGAATAGACTAGAAAGTGGAAGTACTATCCCACATATAAGGGTGTAGAATTTGCCTAGTTGTGGTAGACTTAAAGACACAACTAAGTTTGGATAAACATTAATGGCAAAACCACCTTGTTGTGAATGTTTTTAAATTTCAAAAGCACTCAACAAACTTGGTGAAAAGTCAGGTATTTGTACTGGTCTAGGATTGGCAGGGGCGGAGGGAGGGGAGGTTACAGGACAAGTCAGAAAGACAAGATATCCTCACAAGCCAGTGGTGAAATTGGGGGAAGCAGAAATCTAGGAAAGGTAGGGAAGATAAATGGGGTTTACAGACCAACCATCAAGGAGTATCTATTACAGCATTAAGTGGCCTACCTCTACCGCCCTAAGGATGTCTCTGAACACCGACCGCTGCTTTCTCTTGTCCACTTTGGCCCGGTGCTTAGTTCCATCTGTAGCCAAAGCCCTAAGCATCTGAGTCAAAGACTCCATGTCTTCGTAAAAAAAGTCCTGGTCAGAAAAAAAAATTTGGTTTTGTTTGTAGTTTGTTGTTTCTTTCCCCCCACCCTCTTCTAGAATTAACAAAAAACAGTCCACCTTGGAAATATCCAACAGGGTTACACAGAGCAACGCAAATCTTGGAGCTATTTAGAGATCTTCGCACAGATACACACATAAACACTTACTGTCATGCAAAAATTTAATCCAGAAACGTTGCCTAAAAGATGATACACTACCACCAAACAATGAACATTCCTCTTCCAAGTATAACCAGATGCATTCAACCAATGCTTACTGTGTTCCTACTGTATTCAAGACATTACTGGGATTTCCAAGTTCAGTGATAGTCAGATACACATAAACCAATAGTTCAGTGATAGTCAGTGATAGTTCAGATACACAAGTTCAGTGATAGTCAGATACACATAAACCAATACAGCTTCTACCCCCTGGCTCCCTAGTCCCCAAAGCACATATTCCCAGAATTCCAAATATTCTTATTCCAAAAGGGCAAGCTATCAGTAATGCTTTTTAAAGCACCTAATTTCTAATTTATTGGCTATATTTCAAATAAGCAACCGAGTATTTACATCAGGTGCACAACTCAAGTGATTAAATTCTTTAAGAAAGGAAGATATTTTAATCCCTTTTGGAGGGAAGCCACAAAATGTATTACTATTTGCTATGACCTTAAGTTGACTATGGGCTTCCTTTTTACAGTTTAAGTGGCTATACTTTGAAAGTCTCTTTATTTTGGGTGTTTTTACTCCCTGATTAAATTTTACAACCACATTAAACTAAAAGATTATTCCAAGTTCTTTAGCTGACCAAAACTAGAGCAGACACGCATGGAAGCCAGAAGGTGACCCATCTCCAGTTCTAGTTATTAATGCCTATTTAAGATTTTTTGCATTGGTGGTAACAATCACTTAACTTATTCTATTAAAACAAGCAGCTCAGACTTCCCTGGTGGCGCAGTGGGTAAGAATCCGCCTGCCAATGCAGGGGACATGGGTTTGATCCCTGGTCCAGGAAGATCCCTCATGCCATGGAGCAACTAAGCCCATGCGCCACAACTACTGAGCCTGCGCTCTAGAGCCCGAGAGCCATAACTACTGAGCGTGCACACCACAACTACTGAAGCCCGCACACCCTAGAGCCCGTGCGCTCTAGGGCCCGCATGCCACAACTACTGAGCCCGTATGCTGCACCTACTAAAGCCCGTGCACCTACAGTTCATGCTCCTCAACAAGAGAAGCCACCGCAATGAGAAGCCCGTGCACCACAACGAAGAGGAGCCCCCGCTCGCCGAAACTAGAGAAAGCCCACATGCAGCAACAAAGACCCAGCGCAGCCAAAGATAAAAACATAAAATAAGCAGCTCTTATTCTAGGCATTCTTCACACTGTATACATAATTGTTCAATCTCAAAAAATATAATTTCTTTTAACGTCTAAAATGAAAAAAATTATTACACTCATGGAAAATAAGCTTGAAATTAACACATTCTTTTGTTTTTTTAAATTTATTTATTTATTTTTGGCTGCGTTAGGTCTTCGTTGCTGTGCGCAGGTTTTCTCTAGTTGCGGCGAGCAGGGGCTACTCTTTGTTGCAGTGCCCGGGCTTCTCGTTGCGGTGGCTTCTCTTGTTGTGGAGCACAGGCTCTAGGTGCGCAGGCTCAGTAGTTGTGGCTCGAACCCATGTCCCCTGCATTGGCAGGCAGATTCTTAACCACTATGACCAGGGAAGCCCCAGATATTCTTAATTTAAAGTATTTTCTCATTGTCAGTATTTTAGAGATTGTATATTCTTAACTGTTCTAACCAATGTTTTCTTCAAATGTTCTGATTCAACTTCCTATGTCTGAGTTAGCTGGAAATAACACCTGTCAAGAAGATTTTCATCTAGAAAAGCAGGTACCAAAGCTGATAAGATGTGATTAAAACAGTCCAATGATACTTTGATCTGTATATTTAAATTCCAATAAATTTGATTCCATCATAAAAAAACGGGAATCATTTTACTGCTAGAAACAAATACATTTCAAGGACTGGAAGTTCTCTACTCATTTCATTGACTACTTGTTCTTTTGTATTATTCTCAAAAATAAAATTTATGGAAGATTTAAAAATATATATATGGGAGAATACACCAAAAATTAACAAGACTTTATGCATTACCTTAATTTGTTCTAAGAACCGGGAACTACTGCTAGTGGTCTCAACAATCTTACCTCCCAGCATACATCTGGCCATGTCTAAAGACATTTTTGGTTATCATCATCTGCCAGGGGGTGCTACTGGCCTCTAATGAGTAGAAGCTAGGGAAGCTGCTAAACATCCTGAAATGTACAAGACAGCACCCCCTCCAACAACAAAAATTATCCAGCCCAACATATCAACAGTGCTGAAGTTGAGAAACTCCATGGTAAATAATCTTAGCAATCAATAAAACTCAATCTAGTTTACAGAGTCTGAACCATTGAGTTGAATATAGTACTTGTGAAAATAAATATTAAGTACTGTAGGGAAATGTCTCCATAAAGTGCCTGTGCTTTAAAAAGAAAGAAAACATAAAATATAACAAAAATAGTCCATAAACAGCATCCAAAAGCCAATTTACTGAAGCTTGGGATAACTGCATAGTAAAACTTCACACTCAGGAACAAATGAAAAATGGGCTCCTAGAGGGACAAATACCTAACTCTTATCAATAATGAAAAGAAAATTGCATAGTCATTGCCACACAACGGGGTCAAAAGTCCTAGATCAGAACCTCAAGCCTACTACTCACTACACCAAGTTTTAAAAATTACAAATATGTTTCATCACCTGTAAAATGAAAATATCCACCACCCTCCCACCACATGATAGTTTTAAGGATTAAATAAGACAGGAAATATAAATTTGCCCAATAAATTATGAAGCATGAACTATTACATCAGTATTCTAGATTTAGAGGAATTTACATAGAATTGGACTTTTAAAAAATCAGTGTAGTAATTACAGCTATATGAGGAAGTTTATTGTCACACAAAACAGGTTTTGCAGTCAGAACATCTATGTTTGAATCACAAACATCCATTACTTAGACATATATAACCTTGGGCATAATTACATTAGCAATCTGTGTCTCAGGTCCTCTGATATAAAAAGGGGATAGTTAATACAACCCACATCTCACAGGTTTATTTAAGGCCTAAGTAAAATATATTTATATATTCTAAAAATATATAAAACACAGTACATAAACATCCATTATGCTACAGCTCTTTTATGATATAGCCTGTTTCAGTATAACAATATAAATGCTTCAAACAGGTCAGCTAAAGATAATTATTTCATACTAAAATGACTATAAGTTAAATGGTTTCAAAGGCTGAGTGGCATTAGAATGAAATGAAACCACAGAAAACTTTTAGAAGAGTTTAAATACACAGGATGAGATGCTTAAGGTCACAAAAATCACCCCCCAAACTACTATTTCTATACAGAAGTTACTGGAGCACTGACTGTAAACAAAATGAAATAAGCTGGATCTTGCACAGCTGTCCTATGTGTTAAAAAATAATCCTAACAGGGAAACCTAACATTAACACAGAATTTGATGTCTCCCCACTTCACTGCAAAGTGATGACTACTATTTCTAGAATGGTTTTATCTGACTCTACGCAACTACAAAGACTTTTATTCTTTTCATTCCCTGCTAATTGAGGCAGAATGTCTCCATCAGGGTATGGAGACATTTTTACATGAGTCAGTTATCCTATAAACAAAGGCAAGAAATGAGAAGCACGTGGGGTTGTCCTTTCTGGAAATATAAAATCTAAGTGATTTAGGGCCTGGGGAGTGTGTTGTGAGTCTTCAAATTTTCTTTTCTTTGTTTCTGCTCTGTCTCTCTGTCCTGAAGCACTTCCCCTGTCAGCTTAGGTGGGGGATAGAGCAGGGAAAATTAGGGAAGGTTTGACTATACTACATTTTGATATATTTCCCTGAATCAGCATATCACATGGATCTCAGACCTATAATTCCACTCACTAAATAGTCCTTGTCTTAGTTTAAGTTACCCTAGAGACCTCCTAAACGGCCACTACTAGAGTACTAGTAAGAGGGAGGTAATACATGATTCAGTTAATAGTGCAGGAACTGCTACCACTTACACTGTACTTGGCATGTGTTCCCAAGAACCATATTAGGTAGTGACGATTACTATCTCCATTGTAAAGATATGGATACTGAGGCATACAGAAGTTGCCCAACATCATCAGGTAATAAGGGTGGAAGACAAAATTTGAACCCAGGCACAGCAGCTCCTAATTACACTCTTTACCTGCTTGGTTACATGGCAGACACACAAAGTAAACTAAGGGAGCTCTCACAAACGAAGGATTACTAATTCTTCATATCAACTTTGAACAAATAGCTATTATTAATATTTCACCAACTCATTCTTTAAAACCCAACCTAAAAGCCAGCTCTTCAGAGAGATTTTTACTAAGTCTCCCAGGCTGATTTCATCACATAGTTAGATTTCCAGGTTAATAATAACACAAAATAATTAATGTTAGCAAAAGGCTCTGAATAATTTGATGCCACACTTGTGCTACAAAAACCTAATTTAAATCAACCTATGGTTTAACTAATTTTTTTGAACACCTTGTAACCACACTAACCCACCAGCAGACACTCCCCTCCTTTCAAAAAACTTAACAAAAATAGCAAAGAGTGCTCGTTTCGGCAGCATATACACTAAAATTGGAACGATACAGAGAAGATTAGCATGGCCCCTGCACAAGGATGACATGCAAATTCGTGAAGCATTCCATATTTTAAATCATAAAGATCAGATCAGAAACAAATGGAAAAAAATGAAGGAAACGATAGCAAAGATCAATAAAACTAAAAGCTGGTTCTTTGAGAAGATAAACAAAATTGATAAACCATTAGCCAGACTCAACAAGAAAAAAAGGGAGAAGACTCAAATCAATAGAATTAGAAATGAAAAAGGAGAGGTAACAACTGACACTGCAGAAATACAAAGGATCATGAGAGATTACTACAAGCAACTACATGCCGATAAAATGGACAACCTGGAAGAAATGGACAAATTCTTAGAAAATCACAACCTTCCAAGACTGAACCAGGAAGAAATAGAAAATATAAAACAGACCAATCACAAGCACTGAAGTTGAGACTGTGATGAAAAATCTTCCAACAAACGAAAGCTCAGAACCCGATGGCTTCAAAGGCGAAATCTATAAAACATTTAGAGAAGAGCTAACACCTATGCTTCTCAAACTCTTCCAAAATAAAGCAGAGGGAGGAACACTCCCAAACTCATTCTAAGAGGCCACCATCACCCTGATACCAAAACCAGACAAGGATGTCACAAAGAAAGAAAACTACAGGCCAATATCACTGATGAACATAGATGCAAAAATCCTCAACAAAATACTAGCAAACAGAATCCAACAGCACATTAAAAGGATCATACACTATGATCAAGTGGGGTTTATCCCAGGAGTGCAAGAATTCTTCAATATATGCAAATCAATCAATGTGATACACCGTATTAACAACTTGAAGGAGAAAAACCATATGATCATCTCAATAGATGCAGAGAAAGCTTTCGACAAAATTCAACACCGATTTATGATAAAAATCCTCCATAAAATAGGCACAGAGGGAACTTTCCTCAACATAATAAAGGCCATATATGACAAACCCACAGCCAGTATCATCCTCAATGGTGAAAAACCGAAACCATTTCCACTAAGATCAGGAACAAAACAAGGTTGCCCACTCTCACCACTATTATTCAACATAGTTTTGGAAGTTTTAGCCACAGCAATCAGAGAAGAAAAAGAAATAAAGGAAATAAAATCCAAATCGGAAAAGAAGAAATAAAGCTGTCACTGTTTGCAGATGACATGACACTATATACAGAGAATCCTAAAGATGCTACCAGAAAACTACTAGAGCTAATCAATGAATTTGGTAAAGTAGCAGGATATAAAATTAATGCACAGAAATCTCTTGCATTCCTATACACTAATGATGAAAAATCTGAAAGTAAAATTAAGAAAACACTCCCATTTACCATTGCAACAAAAAGAATAAAATATCTAGGAATAAACCTACCTAAGGAGACAAAAGACCTGTATGCAGAAAATTATAAGACACTGTTCAAAGAAATTAAAGGTGATACAAATAGATGGAGAGATACACCATGTTCTTGGATTGGAAGAATCAACATTGTGAAAATGACTATACTTCCCAAAGAAATCTACAGATTCAGTAAAATCCCTATCAAACTACCACTGGCATTTTTCACAGAACTAGAACAAAAAATTTCACAATTTGTATGGAAACACAAAAGACCTTGAGAAAGAAAAACGGAGCTGGAGGAATCAGGCTCCCTGACTTCAGACTATACTACTAAGCTACAGTTAAACAAGACAGTATGGTACTGGCAGAAAACAGAAATATAGATCAATGGAACAGGATAGAAAGCCCAGAGATAAACCCACGCACATATGGTCACCTTATCTTTGATAAAGAAGCCAAGACTATACAAAGGAGAAAAGACAGCCTCTCCAATAAGTGGTGCTGGGAAAATTGGACAGCTACATGTAAAAGAATGAAATTAGAACACTCCCTAACACCATACACAGAAATAAACTCAAAATGGATTAAAGACCTACATGTAAGTCCAGATACCATCAAACTCTTAGAGGAAAACATAGGCAGAACACTCTATGACATAAATCACAGCAAGATCCTTTTTGACCTACCTCTTAGAGAAATGGAAATAGAAACAAAAATAAACAAATGGGACCTAATGAAACCTCAAAGCTTTTGCACAGCAAAGGAAACCATAAACAAGATGAAAAGACAATCTTCAGGATGGGAGAAAATATTTGCAAATGAAGCAACTGACAAAGGATTAATCTCCAAAACATACAAGCAATTCATGCAGCTCAATATCAAGAAAACAAACAACCCAATCCAAAAATGGGCAGACCTAAATAGACATTTCTCCAAAGAAGATATACAGACTGCCAACAAACACATGAAAGAATGCTCAACACCATTAATCATTAGAGAAATTCAAATCAAAGCTACAATGAGATATCGTCTCACACCGGTCTGAATGCCCATCATCAAAAAATCTACAAACAATAAATGCTGGAGATGCTGTGAAGAAAAGGGAACCCTCTTGCACTGTTGGTGGGAATGTAAATTGATACAGTCGCTATGGAGAACAGTATGGAGGTTCCTTAAAAAACTAAAAATAGAACTACCATATGACCCTGCAATCCCACTACTGGGCATATACCCTGAGAAAACCATAATTCAAAAAGAGTCAGGTACCAAAATGTTCATTGCAGCTCTATTTACAATAGCCAGGACATGGAAGCAACCTAAGTGTCCATCAACAGATGACTGGATAAAGAAGATGTGGTACATATACACAATGGAATATTACTCAGCCATAAAAAGGAACGAAACGGAGTTATTTGTAGTGAGGTGGATGGACCTAGAGACTGTCATAGAGTGATGTAAGTCAGAAAGAGAAAAACAAATACCGTATGCTAACACATATATATGGAATCTAAAAAAAAAGAAGAAAAAAAAAGAAAATGGTCCAAAGAACCTAGGGGCAAGACAGGAGTAAAGATGCAGACCTACTAGAGAATGGGCTTGAGGGTACAGGGAGGGGGAAGGGTATGCTGGGACAAAGTGACAGAGTGGCATAGACACATATACACTACCAAACGTAAAATAGATAGCTAGTGGGAAGCAGCCGCATAGCACAGGGAGATCAGCTCGGTGGTTTGTGACCACCTAGAGGGGTGGAATAGGGAGGGTGGGAGGGAGGGAGACACAAGAGGGAAGAGATATGGGGACATATGTATATGTATAACTGATTCACTTTGTTATAAAGCAGAAACTGATACAACATTGTAAAGCAATTATACTCTAATAAAGATGTTAGAAAAAAAATCACAATGAGGAATCACCTCAAACCTATTAGGATAGCTATCATCAGAAAGACAAGAGATAACAAATACTGGTGAGGATGTGGAGAAAAGGGAACACTTGTGCACTGTTATTGGGAATGTAAATTGGTGCAGGTACTTTGGAAAATAGTATGGATGTTCCTCAAAAAATTCAAAATAAAATTCCTAGTGCAAAAAAAAAAAAAAAAAAAAAGCAAACAAAACACTAGGTTGTTTTATAACCCAGTTCATTTTTGTCTTTGACAAGGACTTCAGTCAAATTAAATACATCTGGATGAGTTCTCCTGGCTATCACATATTATTTATTAAGTCAGATAATGTAAGATATGCAGGTAATAATATATTTACATTTATGCAAATTTAAACAAATCAACACATATACTTTAAACTGCATCACTAGTTCACTTTTAAGATGCATTTCAAAGGAAAAAGAAAAGAATTTACCATTTCTAGTCAGTAGAGGAATACAAGATTAAAAATGGGGACATCTGGCTTCTGTGCCTTGAGGTTAAGGAGCCATTAAGTAGCTCAATAAAATTAAATGGATTGCTAAACTTCAGTCTTCTAATTTCTCACATAAGGAGACTCATTAGCTACTGACAGCATTAATAACTTACTTTTACCTCGTACCTGCTCTCTTTCAAAGTAAGGAGGGATGTGGGGGGCAACGAAACACAGGCCTAGAATGGAATGTGAATAAGCAAGGCAACCCAGAACACGTATTAATCTTATTTAGAATTATCCACTGTTAAATAACTTCTTTAATTGCAGACAAAGTTTCATTCCAGAAATAGTCTTTCTCCTTAAATTAAGAAACAGCTAGTAAGTAACCCAAGATTCACAACAGAGGTCACAAACCAGGGTGACCAAATGTCCCATACAGCCTAAGACAAAGGGTTTCCTAGAACACAGGACTTTTCAGTGCTAAACTTGGAATACCATCAGGATGGTGGATCACCTATTGGTCACCTATCACAAACTCAAATACCTTGAAAAGCCAAACTGTGGTTTAAAAAAAAAAACAACTATGAGTCGACAGTGGTAGAGAACTGCAAAGCACATGTCCCAGAGTAATGGGCTATGTTTATTTCCATCTTTGGCTTAAAAGTTAAACCTAACAGTACTAAACTCATCTGACTTAATCCCAAACCTATGTTGACCTAATATTTCATCCATTTGTCCAACATTTATTATAAAGCATCCATGCATGAATTACCTTAATGTGTCTGATGTCTGAGAAATCCTAGCAGATCCAAAAGATTATACGGGACAACTCTCTCCATGAGTAATAAGAGTGTACCTAAACTTCAGTTCTGTAGGCAGCAACAATCAAATATAATGAACTACACTTAAATATTGCTCTACCAACCCCTATTGATTTATGCTCTTAAAAGTATTACATCACCACTGCCAAGAAGCAGAACGATCGATCACTAGGTTCTCAGTGGGCCATGCTCTAAAGTTACAATCCACTTCTTAATTGTGAGGATTATGATGGAATAATGGTCCTTGTGATGCAAGCTTTTTGTTTCACCTATCAGATACTTACACTCTCTATTCCTCTGGCCAATTCAAACAGAAGTGCCAGAGATTCACCAGCAGCTATTCTCATGTTTACATCATCAGAAGAGAGGAGGCTTGGAAGTTTATGGAAATGCCTAGAAAATAGTCAGTCATTATTATGTGAACACAACCGATTATGTCAATAAATGTTGATTTTATAAAGTAAGAAACTAAAAATACATACACCTCAAGCTTTTTCTTCACTTCATTGATTGGGCATATGGTCAGTAATAATGTCCACACGAGAAGTGAGCTGATATGAAGCGCTGTAGTAGGGGTGCTGCAGACAACATTAGTGTCGTTCTCTTTGAGATAGGACTTGGTGAAGATATTTTCCAAACACTGCAGAGTTGAATACAGCTCCTAATGCATAAAAACAGGAAATAAGATACCACCTTAAATGAGAAATGTGCAAACAACTGGATTCAAAAGGTTGTCTACTTACAGTAATGTCATCTGTGGCAATAAAACAGCAAACAGCAAAGCAAGTTGCACACTAAAAAAAGCAAAACAAAAACAGACATTAATGTTTGCCATTTTCTTATTAATTCTACATCTTCCTGCTTTTATAATTCAATGTGAAAAATTTCTCAACCACATAACTACATTAGGTCCCAAGTACAGTATTAAAAAGAAAGAAAGAATATAAGGTCAAAAGTTAAGGGAAGTGGATTTTGGCTAAAAGCCACTAAGGTCTGCTACTAAACTCAGAGTATGACTTTAGGAAAGTTACTCCATTTCTCTCAGATTTTCCTTCATTAATCTAGCAGATCATTTCAAACTTCAACTCAAAGACAGAGATGAAGTGTGGACATTTGAGATAAAGAAACCTACTCTATTAAAAACCTTTAAAACACAAATCTCAAAAAATTTAAATAGCTGTCCTCAAACTTCCGACTTAAAGAAGGATCTCATTAACTCAGATTTTACTTATTTTGGAATATGTTGAAAAGAGGTTGGGAATCCTATAATTGTTTATTTTGGGGGGGGGGGATGCTAAACGAGTGAGTACACAGTCCAAGATTACCAAGGTAATCTTTTTTTTTTTTTTCTTTTTACGAGGGCCTCTCACTGTTGTGGCCTCTCTCGCTGCGGAGCATAGGCTCCGGACGCGCAGGCTCAGCGGCCATGGCTCATGGGCCCAGCGGCTCCGCGGCATGTGGGATCTTCCCAGACCGGGGCATGAACCTGTGTCCCCTGCATCGGCAAGCGGACTCTCAACAGCTGCGCCACCAGGGAAGCTCCCCAAGGTAATCTTACTTAATAAAACAGAATCAGAATATCTATATACAATCTACCTGCAACATAAATAGGAGCCATGAATTCTCAGAACACTGTTCTAACAAATTAATCATATAAAAACAGAATCTGAGGGCTTCCCTGGTGGCGCAGTGGTTGAGAGTCCGCCTGCCAATGCAGGAGACACGGATTCGTGCCCCGGTCCGGGAGGGTCCCACATGCCGCAGAGCGGCTGGGCCCATGAGCCATGGCCGCTGAGCCTGCGCGTCCAGAGCCTGTGCTCCGCAGCGGGAGGGGCCCCAACAGTGAGAGGCCCGCATACCGCAAAAAAAAAAAAAAAAAAAAAAACAGAATTTGAAATTCGTAAGGCTTTATTATTCTTCATTTCCCTTTTCCCCATACGTTATTACTAAAATTCCCTCATGTTGTTCCAAGTACCATTAAAGCTTAAAGCTTAAGTCTTTAAAGTCATCATTCATATGCCCAGGTTTCAGCTAGTTCTGTTCCAGTAATATGAGGACACTTGTAATATTAATCTGCTTGGTGTCACTGTTTTATTTTCATTAGTTTATCCTGGTAAAAATTGGACATTGTTAAAATTCAAAAGTAGCCTATGCATTATTCTTAGTAAAGAAAAATTTCAATCTATCATCCCTTCTCCTAAGTAAGCAGCAGAAGCAAGGCCACATCTCTCCTTCTGATTACTAAGAGAAATGGCAGATTAAAAATTAGGACTGTCTACGTTTAATAAAGATTCCTTCTGCTAATATGCAGAAGAATGCTAGTTTATTTTTTATTTTAATTCACAGAAAGAGTGAGAAGGATTAATAAAGGGCCTTTAGATGACCACAACAAACTCACATGCAACCAAAATTAAGTGATCACCTCAAATATCTAATCAATAGTGTTTTCTGTCAAACATTTCAAATACCCCTATACTCCTGCACAATTTAAAAGTTGCATGAAACTACACAAAAAGGAAGAACAGAAAGGCAAAGAGCAAAAGCGTGATTAAATATTTTAGGGTTGCTAACTATTGGGGGGCAGAGATTCCTATAATGTCACCAAACTCCTATTCCTTTGCCTCTGGGAGAAAGAGCTAGACTATTCCCAGCAGCCATACAGTTGGTAAACCAAGGAACTCTTGGCAGAAGCGATGTGTCTCTGTCCTCTAGCTTTCCCCATCTAGCTACCATAGTTGCCATCTGAAAGGACCTAGAGGTAGGGCAGAGATGCAGGATGGATGCCTAGGGACCCTGCTGACTTGACCGGGCAGTGATATGAACAAGAAGTAAACTTTAATAAGCCACTAAGACTTCAGGGTTTATCTGATACAAAGATTAATGTCATGTACCATAAGTAATACTAAAGAGGAAGCTAATTTGAATAATCAGTATGAAAAAGCTTTAAACTTAAAATGGTTCTCTTGTTAGGAAAACAGCTTAAGATTCAAATCCACTAAAATTAAATTTTTAAGATCTATTAAGACTCTTAAGATTCTTAAGATCCATAACATTCAAATCTTAAAATTCATTAAGGTTCAAATCCACTTTCTAAATCCACTACAACCACCTCATGTTTCTGTGAATAAAGCAAAACATGTTCATGTGATCATTTAAATCACTTACTAGCACACCAAAAACCAACAGCCAAAAACAAAACCCACAGTCTTAAGTGTTGCAAGTGGTATATATCAATTAGAGAATGAAAGCTTTTCCAAACCCCAAAACCAGATGAATATTTCACAAGTCAGAGTTTCAGAGTTTCCTACATCTACCAAATCCACCTGTGTAACTACAGCATTCAGCTCTCTCATAAGGACTTTTAGGCCACAACAGCCAGAATTTTTTTAAGAAAACCACTCCATTACATTTCTTAGAATAAAAAATAACCACACAATAAACATTGTCAGGACCATTTCTTTAAGCGCCAATAAAAACTAGATCATCCTAAATAACTCAACATAGCACTGTATTTCATATCAGCAAATGATGTTCAATTTCAAAGATGTAGAAATCTTCTCTATACGGGATGCTCTATTGAGTCTCAGAAAATTTAAGAGGGCAATTGTCGTATTGAGCCTGCTCACTAAAATTAAAGACAAATGGGGGTGGTGGTGGGATGAATTGGGAGATTGGGATTGACATATACACACAAATATGGATAAAATAGAGAACTTATGAGAACCTGCTGTATAAATAAATAAAATAAATAAAATTCAAAAAACAAAGGGACAAATGAGAATAAAATGTTAATAAAAAACCTGCTATATTTTTTAAAGATGCTATTTTCCTAGATCATTCATCACAAGGTCTGGCTGTCATGCCTAGATAGATCTATAAATTTAAAAATCCGATACTTACAGTTTGCCTAGCCTGGATACTAGCTGTTCCATCACAAATTATTTTCTTCAGGATTGGTCCAAGAGTCTTTAAAACCTCTTCACTTTCAATTCCAGGGCCCAACTGAATACAGAGAACAGATGCTAATGCTGCAGCTGCACGCTGCTCATCACCTTTACCTATAAAACAAGCCACAATGCAACTATGACAAATCATTTTCAACAGACTTATTAAGGCAGCAATCTCCCAAATTTGTTCAATTTCAAAATAGCATCTACCAATTATGAAACTTGTAATATGCTCAAGGCTTTGACATGAGCGATAAATCTAGACCTCACTCAAATCCTAGATCTACCATGTATTAGCCAAATGATCTTCAACCAATTACTCTTATTCTCAAAACATTTCCTCATCTGTGAAATGGAGATTAACACCAATTTTAAGGGATTACTGTAACAGTTCAGCCAGATAATGCATTTCAAGCTGATCTGACCTTCCAAATCCTTCAGGTACTTATAGAATAGTGCTCAAGTAGCCCTTGAATTAATCTGACAAGCATTTCAGATGTACACAGCCCATGAGGTAAACTAAACTGTCAGGGCTTCCTCCACCAGTGTTTTTTTAATTTTTTTTTTAATAAATAAGGGATTCAAAATAAGGGATTCTTGGGAATTTCCTAGTGGTCCACTGGTTAGGACTCCGAGCTCTCATTGCCGAGGGCTCAGGTTCCATCCCTGGTCGGGGAACAAAAAATCCCACAAGCTGCATGGTACGGCCAAAAACTAAAAATATTAAAAAAATAAGGGATTCTTTAAAACTATAGAAAATACGTTAATATAAAGGTAAATGTAAGTTAACTCTTGAGAACTGTATACACCAAAGGATTTGGGCAAATTTTGAACTTAAGCTATTGTCTGATAAATTAAATATTTATGCAGGTTGTAAGAAATTTTTAAAGGTCACCTAGTCCAATTACCTTGTGGATACAGTTTCAATGTTAACACTTTTAACAAAGCCATTGTAATATCTCAAAAAAGTTGGCTCTGTTATCAACTATACCAGTAACAAGGTATATAACTTTAGACCAGTCTCCTGTTTCCTAGGCCTTTCTTTTTCCTATACAATGAGAGGTGGATTAGATCAAAGGTTTCCAAACACCCATTCTTGACAAAGCTTCCACCTGAAGCAAAATGAGAATAAGAACATAAAGCTAAGCACATTCAATTTAAAGGAACATGTGTGCTTCCTACACTTTTGGTACTAGAAATATTTTGTTGATAAAGTGATAATGATAGTTGAAGCTAATTATTTTCATAATGTTCTTACTTGGCAAAATAATTAAGCTGGCAGCCCCAAATCTTTTTAAATCTGGCAGCTCCTAAAATTGCAAGTTTGATAATACTAGACTTAATCTTTAAGGTCTCCTTTCATTCTTAAAAGTTCTATGATCATAAAAGTTCTACAATCATAATATGAATTCCAGAATCTCCATTACAAAGTTCTAGAATTCAAATATTCCAAGGGATATCCTGAAATGATGTCATTGACAGGTATGATTGATGTTTTAAATAAGAAAATGAGGTAGATAATTGATACTTTTTTAATTTTAGATAAATGAAGTAGGATGGCTTATAAATAATACTTTTTGTTGACATCTGACACATGGTTTCAAGCCTTTTTTACATACAAAAGAATGGCAGGACTTTCCTGGTGGCGCAGTGGTTGAGAGTCCGCCTGCCGATGCCGGGGACGCGGGTTTGTGCCCCGGTCTGGGAAGATCCCACATGCAGCGGAGCGGCTGGGCCCGTGAGCCATGGCCGCTGAGCCTGCGCGTCCGGAGCCTGTGCTCCGCAAGGGGAGAGGCCACAACAGTGAGAGGCCCGCGTACCGCAAAAAAAAAAGAATGGCAAACACCTCTTCGGATACAACTAAAGTTGATAATCCACCCCAATCCTTCCTAGTTTCAAACTGTTTATTACATAAACAAAACAAAGCTAACAAGTTTGATTTTGAGTTCTAACAAGCCTGGCATATTCCCTGCCAATTACAAAGTTATAAGAGTGAGCCAGACTTCTAAGTGCTATTAACAAATATTACTGCACAGAAGGTAGCAAATTCCTTTTCAGTTCTGTGACTGTGACTCAAAAATATGGACATTACCTTTTTTCAGGCAGCGTTCAATACTATCAGTTAAAGTCATTCTTCTTTCCAGAATAAATTCATAAAGCATCTTTGAAGCCAGTATATTTTTAATACCTTCAAGAGCTGCCTGCCTTGTCTTCGCACTATTTAAAACAAAATGTAAGAGAAAGAATATCCAATTGGAGTATACCATTGGTCAATGAGACTTTTAAAAACTTAGCTTACTTCCCTCTCAACTTTTTCTATTTATAGATTATTTAAAATCTAATTTTCATCAAGCTCTCACAGTTCTTCAACAATAATTTAATTTTCATCTACAACTCACCTTATTATACAAAAGATTTTAAGCTACTCTATATCATGTTTTCTGGTTTTCTGTTTATTAGTTCAATAACCACAATGTTAAATGACTACATAGAATTTTATACTTTCAATGTATAAGACATGTTCTCCTACATTACATATTCAAGTAAACTCAGACTTTTTTTAACACTACAGAAGTCTAGAGTTCTTGTTTGAATCTTCTGGGCTTTTTAATTCCATTTGTTTTAAGTTGGTTCTAGAGTTACTGTTAAGTAAGAAAACAATTTAGCTTTGATACTTTTCGAAGTTTAGTTATACTTTCTAGTTGAAGATTAACTTTTAATTCAACAAATCCACTTCAATTATCAAATACAGTTATGTCCCCTATGCTGAACAACGACTAATCTTAGGCTATTAATCTAAATTCTAGTGGCATGTTCCTATCTACTGATACATTAAAAGTCCAAAGGAATAAGAAACACTAAAATATACAAAGTAAACAAATCGAGCTTTAGAAAAACATAATGTTAAATGAAAGAACTGCACATATTTTAAATAAAAAGTGGCTGACAGAAATCACCCAGAAGAAAAGAGTTTCCAGTAATTCCTACCTCTTATCTAGGGTCAGGTCAATGAATCCCTTCAACTTATACTCTAAGTCTTCTTGAGTTCCTTCCTCATCGAGGACTTCTGGTCCTAAGGAATAATAAAAACCAACCACTGTAATTTAAATAGAAAAAAGCAGATAGGGAGTGGTAATAGTATACTTAGCTACAAGAATTCCTCCACCTAAATCATCCTTTTATCTAACGTTGCAAATCTTAACTGAAAACTCATACCATCTTCAGCAAAACTGGAAGGATCACTGTAACCACTGCAATGGCTCATTGTTTCAATCGATGCATCCTCATCACTAAAAGGTTGAACATTTCGATGCTGGCCACCTAATAGGTAAAAGAGGGTGAAGGTAAATGATTTTGTTGTCATATATGCAAATACTTAACTTGGGATTTTAAAATTTACTTACAAAAAATCCAGTAATAAAAACCCAAACTTATTTATGAGATGATTTTTTACAAAAGAATACACTTAAATTCCTAACATAAGTCAATTCACCTAATGTGTATTTCAGAGCACCAACTGTTTACAATATACATCAACTTCAGAAATATATCAATCATCTAACATGCAGCACCCATTTTTGGTGATACAAAAAGTATTACAGATGAAAAAACTACTTCAAATCATGAAGACAATGAAAACTGACCATCATAAGAATAAGACGAATATATGTTCCAATGAGAATAACTGGGCTTAGCAAACATTAACTGGTGAATGGGTTAGTTTTTAGGTTACACATGTCTTATGTGAAGGGGAATTTAAGAAGTTAAGGGATGGTAGTTTTAAAGACAACTTGAATTGAGAGGGTCAACAAAGGCTTAAAAATGAAGTTTTGGATGGGGATGTTGACAAGTGGATCCAAAATGGCATAGAAAGTAATGATAGGAATTGGATGAAATAATTGATCACTAAAGAACTACAGTGCTGATGAGATGTGTATGAAATTATAAAGAGCTCTGATGGGCTATTTGGGTGATGCCCAGTGCAGTGAACTACAGGATTTTTGTTCCTGAGTCATGCAAGTCAGAAGAGCTGAGAAGACGTGTGAACTAGCGTGTGAATCACTTAAGAGGCAGGGCTTCTTAAGTGAGGACCCCTTAAATGGTCCTCAAGCACTGCACAGAGGTCCTCCTTTCTCTTGGCCAGTACTCTATGGCGGACTTCACAGGGCCACATCCACTGGAGATAGAAAGCATCAATTTGAGAGTCTTTACAGAATTGCCTCATTTTTGCAAGTAAAGAACTATGGGCAAGCTGCAAGCTGATCAAGACTATAGACATGGTGTGTTTAAAACTGGGACTTTGCTTCGAAGATTTTGAATTATTTAGGTGAGCAATGTTTAAGATTTGACTTTTTTCACATGCCGATTTCAAAAGTGACTACAGTATTTTAAAAACCCACTTTACTGTGGTGATTAGTGACTAATTTGGATGATGACTTTCCTACTACGATGGGTGCACACGTGAACATTTGTACCTAGTCACAAGTGCTGACACTCCTGTCGCTTCCTTGGGAAAACTGACAGTACCCTTTTAAAATCTGTGTGAGTATTTTCCAGCAATAAAGAGCCAAGATTTAAGGAAAAAAAAAAAAAAAAGTTTTGGTATTTGATGTAGCATAAAAAGATAGATAAAAGCCCGACAGATAAATTACCTTTAAAAGAAAGGTTCTAACAAATCCAACAGTTTTAAAATATCAGCCCTATTACTAAAAAATTAAAATCCTTTTTTTTAAGCTAGAATCTTTCTCTCACCTTCATTAACTTAAGGAGTAAATGTACATTCCTGGTCACTGTCATTTCTAGTCATTTTTGTTTTGTGGGAATTTCATATTAATAAAAAGATTACCTAGTCATCAATTACATTGAGCACTGAGTTAAAATAAGTCCCAAATTCTGCCCCAAAAGTGACTTGAGTCATCTGATTTACTTCTGAGCTCGAATCAAAGATTGTACCTAAAATTGTATCCTTAGGTACAATGATACAATACAAACCTAAGATTCTATCACTTAGGTCTCTATATTCAAGAAATCTGTAGCATTTACTATATCATAAGATAAGCTTTTCAAAAATTCTCTAAATTTAATTAAGCCTGTTGCTGTTTTTTTTTAAATGGGGGTTGTCTTTTTTTTTAAATCACAACAGAGGTGAGACTTTAGCAGATTTTTAAATCAACACAGGAAGCAAGTGGCCTTCAAACCTGCCGGCTATCTCAAAGAGAATAAAGTGTGCCAATCAAAGTAGTGAAGCATAAAGAATAAGCAATGAAACCAAGACCCCAAAACTTCTTAATCATAGTGCTTAGGACAGGAAAGACCTATGCCATCATACTCTATTTCTGGATCTATCTTCATGTGTTTTCATGATTCGAAGTCGTGGCAACAGTTGAGTCATCTACTTAACTTTTACTAACATTTATTCACAAATCAATTTATGTTTTTTATTTTTCATATTCAGCCTATTTTTAAACTATCAAGAAGAGTTTCCTATCCAGGTCTTACACAGCTCCCTTCTCTAAGTTTCAATGATTTCCCAAGGCTCAAGGGAAAAAGAGATTAAAAAAAAAAAAAACGAGGAAAAAAATCCTGTATGAATGTCTGATATCTAGGTCATACTCACCCACCTTGTGATCCCAAGTACCATTAATGAGGTGACACTTAGACACATAAAGTCCTTATTTCTTAGAGGGCTTATGTATTAACAAAGTTTTGTTCTTTCCTAAAAATGCTCTCTTCAAATTAAGTGTCACGAAAAATAAGCACACTTGAACAAAAGGTCAATTTTATTAGTTTCCTAGACCTGTCCACTAACTTAAAAAGCAGAGAATTTAAATGGGAAACCCAAAGTGATAGAGAAGTTGGTTATCTTTCGGCTGTACATGGGAAGATCTCATTTGAATCCCATTTCTTCTAGATGTCACTTAAAAATACCAGTAAGATAAGACTTTTAAGTACAAGTTTGTGACAATTTTCCACCTCTTCTACTCAACTATTATTTATTCATTTATTGACTTAAGTAATATTCATAAAGAACCAAACGAAACTTTTCAAAAAGTAAAGCTCACCCCCCAGGCCCAATTAGAGGCAAGCACAGTTAATAAGTTCTAGTGTAAACTTCCAAAGATAGTCAAAGCATGTATAGTTTTATAAACTAATCAAATAATTCTTTACCTGATGATGAAAGTTCGCAAATGAACCTCATGGTAAAATCTGAAAGGCAATCCCCCACTGCCTCCTGATATTATTCTCTAAGTACCAGGAAGGAAGGAGGCTGGACAGGAAGCTCCAGAAGGGAATAAAGGTTTGTTTGTGATTCAAGGAAGCCATTAGTAACATCATTACCATTTTCAAAATGACTTTAGCTTGCTGCATTTCCATAATTTGTTCCATCAACAAAAGGTAAACTTAAGAATAAAATTAATTCGGACCTTCTAGACAGAATTTAAATGTTTACTTCAGATGAGGAAAGCTGAAGCAGAAAGGTAGAGAGGTATGTATCCTCAATTCACACAGAGCAACTAGATGCCACAACAAACTATGTATTTTATATCTTGATCAAGAATGAATTTCATGAACACCGAGAGCATTCAATCAAAATAAAGAGCGATATAAAGAAAAGGGAAAAAACTACATTTATAATAATTCATTCTTGTCAATTATTAAACATTTAATACATGATCACAAAGTTTTCGTGCTGCTATAAATCCTATAGGAAAGCTTTTAAAATATCAGCTTCCAATCATCTTTAACAAGAAAACTGGCCTATTTACTTGCTAAAGAACAAAGGCATATTCTGAGGGTCAAAGTGGCAACTGTGCTGACAAGTATATGTGGCTGGTAGTAGTTCCGATGTGATAACATCTGAGGATATTCCAACATTTAATTTCAAAGTTTCAACAAAGCAATTATTAAACGTGCTGATTTTACCCGGTTTAACACTAGCTTTCAGTATGCTGTGTCTCGTAGGGCTTTCTGCTTTAAGTCCTTTTTTCTTAGCCGTATGGTTAGGAGTAAAGAATCATTAATTCAGTTAAGCACCTACCCATCCAGGAAAAGCTTTAACTTTGCAAAGAGGAGACAGAAAACCCTAAACTTTTGGCCAATTGCAGTCTGAGCTCCTCACCATTCCCGCCTATCCCGGGCTCCCATCAGAGAACCTATAGAATACGGCACAAAAGAGAACGTGGTTTCTGCCCCGAGGAGCAGGAGGTCGCCTCGACTGGTCACAGGAGAGCTGGGGGCTCGGGATTTGTTCGGGTGCCAGATAGGGACAGGAGTAGAGCCTACTCTGGGACAGTGGCCCCCAGCCTCCGACGCCTCCGCCAGGCCAGGTGGACACGCGGGATGCGAAAGAAGGCTGCAGAACGGGATACCACATGGGCACCTCTGCGTCACCCCGGCCCCACCACGTAAGGCCCAGGCCGCGTGACGCAAGAGCCAGTCCAAACCCGCCGGACGTTTGGCATTCCCGAGAACTCCATGTTGGAGCCGGGTGGTCAAAGGTGACCAGTGACAGCATGGACGGAACTCCGAGCCCGGCCCCACTCTCCGTCAAGGAGAGCTCTAGAGAGCCAGCATCTGCCTCTGAGAACAGTTCCTCTCCTGCCAGCTCCCGGTCACCCCCGATGCCAACCCCTTCCCAGACCCAAGGACCCATTCACCCCTCCCAGACTCCACGACCCGGGCCCGAGTTCGACTCGCATGCCAGATCCAAATCGCGCGAGGTACGGCCACCGGGGCACGCTGGGAAGTGTAGTTCGCCGGCCACAGCAGGTGCCCCGCCGACGCAAACGTCTAGAGGAAAAGAACTACACCTCCCACGGTACCCAAGGCTAAAAGACTTGCCAGCCTGGCCGGCAACTGGGACGCTGGCGGCGGGGATACTCTCGTACCTGCTGTCGCCGCCGTCGCTGCAGCTGCCCCTGAGCTGCCGCCACTACTGCCACCGCGATGGGGAGTGTTCCGCTTCTTATTCTTCGGCATCGTGGGACGCCCGGTGCCGCCTAAACTCGGAGCTTAGCGAAGATCAGCCGATGGAGCTGCACTTTTTACTCGTGCGTCTGTGCGGCGGGCGGCTGAGAGGTGAGTTTTCGACTAACAGAGGCGAGAAGCGGCGCGGGTAAGAGTGGGCAGTGGCGGCAGCAGAAATCCCCGTGAAGAGCTGTAATCGGAAACGATACATGTTTCTCTCTAGCGCTGGAGCTAAGGCGGGGCGGGCGAGGCCACGACGCCTTAAGTAGCAAGACCGCCGCCTGTCGTCACCATACGTGGGCGGGACTCGAACTCTCACTAGCCAATCCCTATAGACCTCCCCACCAGAGGCGGACTTAGGGCGGCCGAAGGATGCTGACTACCGATCCCATGCCACAAGTCTTCCAGCGGCGGCCCGGAGCCGGTCTTCGTTGCCGTCTTGAATTCTGGGAAATGTAGTCAGCCCTGGGGAGCCGGCTCCCAGCTCCTCCCAACGGGCATTTCTACGCGCTTCCTTTGTTTCTCGAGACCCTTCCCCTGCCGCCCCGCGGCCCCGCCTTGGAATTGACGGAGGTGGTAGCCAGTGAGGAGCATGCCGAATGACGACAGCCCGCTTCCAACTGGGATTGCTTCCAACTGGGAGCTACGCAATCCGCATTGCTGGTCTGTCTCCAGAAGCTCGTGTTCTTCTCCTTAACCTTTACCCTACTTGCCTGTGGGCTCTGCCCAGGCTCAGCCATACCCCTCCTTAGGTATGTTTCCATGGTTTTAGTTGTTGAATTAGTTTAGCGATCATCAATATTTATTATTGAATTGTGGTTCAAAACATAGGAGCACCTCAATACATAAGGCAAATGCTAACAGCCATAAAAGGGGAAATCGACAGTAACACAATAATAGTAGAGGACTTTAACACCCCACTTTCACCAATGGACAGATCATCCAAAATGAAAATAAATAAGGGAACACAAGCTTTAAATGACACATTAAACAAGATGGACTTAATTGATATTTATAGGACATTCCATCCAAAAACAACAGAATACACATTTTTCTCAAGTGCTCATGGAACATTCTCCAGGATAGGTCATATCTTGTGTCACAAATCAAGCCTTGGTAGATTTAAGAAATTTGAAATCATATCAAGTATCTTTTCCTACCACAATGCTATGAGACTAGATATCAATTACAGGAAAAAAAACTGTAAAAAATACAAACACATGGAGGCTAAACAATACACTACTAAATAACCAAGAGATGACTGAAGAAATCAAAGAGGAAATCAAAAAATACCTAGAAACAAATGACAATGAAAACACAACGACCCAAAACCTATGTGATGCAGCAAAAGCAATTCTAAGAGGGAAGTTTATAGCAATACAATCCTACCTCAAGAAACAAGAAAAATCTCTAATTAATTGTGGTTCAAGGCTATGTGCCGCCCCCCCTTGAAAAAGATGTGCTTTAATCTACTCAGTCATGTAGTTCCTGTATTTCTCCTGCTCTAGACTAGAAAGATCTGGCGATTCAGATTTCTATACAAGAATGTGTCCTTTGTCAATTCTTCCTGCCAGTTAGGAGGTCAATCTGAGATAAGGATTGGGTTTTGGGAATTTAACAGCTGGTAAAACAAACATGAGCTATGAATACCAATACTCTCAGTGTTTTTTATTTTCCAAGGTGCGCCTAAGATCTCTGTCTTCCTTGTTACATTTGTCATGTATTTAGGACCTGTTTTTAAGTTCATGTATTATGCTTATGACAGACAAATTCACTGACTCACCTCAATGTAGGTGACTCATCTCCCACTCCACCTCCCTCCTGAGTCCTCTTATTTTCTTTTCAATGGCAAGTAGCACATTTTCACCTGAATGTTCCATATGCACCTCAGTCCAGCATCTCTAATACTGTTTCCCTCTTCCTGTCTTCCCTTTGTGTGTTCACAGTACTACTGTCCTCCCATATGTCCAAATTCAAGAACTCAAAGTCATACCTGGTTTCCCTAAAAACAATCAGTTTTACCATAAAACACCTAAATTCATGTCCTCTTCTCCGATCACACATGACCTCAGTTGGTGCCTGAGCATTTTAAGGGATCTTGCCAGTCATTTCACCATATTTAATGCATGATAATATTGCCAGATTTATTCATATATCCCCTATTTTACTAATTCACATGGTTTAGTAGTTGCTCAAAAACATTCCTTGGTTCCCATTACCAATATATCCAATGCCAACCTTCTTCCCCTGGCCTGGACTCCCTCTTCAGCCCTTCTTTCACTGCTTCCTGGTACATGCCCTGTGCTTCAGCCACATTGCACTGCTCCTCGCTTCCAGTACACAGCTCTGCTGTCCTGCCTCCATTTTATCATTCACGTTGTCCAGTGCTCTGTAATGTCCTTCCTCCCAGGTTCACCTTGGAAAATTTTATCCATCTTTCAAGATCTAGCTCAAATTCAACCTCCTTCCTTCCTAAAGCCTCCAACCAAAATTGTTTCTTTTTCCTCACAACTCTTAAAACTCTTTGTAATGCTCTAATGGCACTTATTACACCCGCACAGGCCACACAGCCTATTCAAGGATGCTATTCAAAGGGCATTATTTCAGCGTTGCTTTTACTTTGTTTAATCCTGAAGCTGCAAGTAAACCAGATAAGGATGCCGGTTGGTGGACACAGCTCCCACTGATGCCCTTATATCATCCCTTCAGATGACTGTACGTCTGAAGCCCAGTGGCCTTGGCCCACACTGAGTGAGATGACCCCAGACTGGAGGATCATAGAATTATACCTTTCATAACCCCAGGCTCTTGGTCATCCAGAAACAACTCATACTACAAGTAAGGCAATAATTTTGCTACCCTGTGAGCCACATCACCCAGGCTTAATGTCCAGGTTTCAGGCCTTGTAACTTGTGCTTTGCCTACATTTGGGGCATGCTCCTTTTATCTACATCCATTCACATCCACTTGGAGGTTTTTATTGGGAAGGCCTAGCTATGACCTACCACATCATATACATACTTGCTTTACATTTGTTTGTAAACACATCTGTCATCTCATGAAACTGTCAACTCCCCCAAAACAAGAACCTGTTTGCATCATCGCTTTCCCTCATGGCATGTAAAGAAGTGTTATCTTTGTAATTATAGGGGGTCAGTATATGTTAAATGAATGTTCAAGAAATATTTGTTGACTAGATTTTTCTGGGTCAAGAAAAGGCAGCAACATTACATACATGGAGTGTTACTTTTAGTATAATGAACTCTGAGAGATATTTTTGATAAAATCATCTTACTGTCTTTATGTCCATAGTTTAGTTCCAGATCAGTAAAAGTACCAGAAAGATTTAGCCATAGATGTCATAAAACAGTGGTCCTTAACTTAACATATTGGTTTTGCAATATATTTGAAGAAATTAGAAGACTCCAAACAACATCAAATAAGTACAGAATAACTACAATTAACCAGGAGGGAAGAGGAACAGGACAAAGGGGTTTTCTCCTAGCCAGACTTTGCCTCTGCAGGGACTTCTGCTTATATCTCATTGGCTACACTTTTGTCAAATACGCTTCCTAGTCACAAGGGAGTCTAGAAGAAAAGTATTTTTAATTAAGTTCGTTGATAATCAAATCTGAGGTTCTGTCAAAGAGAATGAAGATCACGCCTATAAGACAGGCAGCTAGCAGTGTCTCCCTCAGGTACTACGAGGCAAAGGTCTCCCTTGAAATGCTCTAATAAATATCACATATTTGTTACCAACATGATGTTATGTGCTCCCTCATACCTCTTACTCATAGGAAGATGTATCCTCCTCCTATAAACACAACCTAATCCAGTTTAACATTCCACCTAACAGATATCAACATCATGGTAAGTACATTCAGATGTTGCAAAAATTACACTAATCTGAATTTGTGGACTTGAGAAGAGTTCTAATCTCTCATGGGGTATATATATTGAGGATTTTGGTTCAAGAACAAGTAACACAAGACTTGGTATTCAAACCTCCCTTGAAGACATGAACATGAAAGGATTTCTTTGACTGACTTTAGTCATGGCTTCCTTGGGATTCTTTGCATAGCTTTAAGCAGAAATAAATGCCTCCCAGATTCTCCATTTTTTTTTTTTTTTTTTTTTTTCCGGTACGCGGGCCTCTCACTGTTGCGGCCTCTCCCATTGCGGAGCACAGGCTCCGGACGCACAGGCTCAGGGGCCCATGGCTCACGGGCCCAGCCGCTCCACGGCATGTGGGATCTTCCCGGACCAGGGCACAAACCCGCGTCCCCTGCATCGGCAGGCAGACTCTTAACCACTGCGCCACCAGGGAAGCCCCAGATTCTCCATTTAAGACTTGTCATCATCCGGTTCCTGCCTGTCTCTCTAGACTCACCTCTTATCGCCTAACAACAAGGCCCTTCCTTCCTGCGATACTGGATGCCTCGAAGGTCTGTGAGGTCACCATGCTCACACAGGTTTGGGACCTGCCCACCTCTCCTCGTCTCAGGAGCCTCTTCTCACCCATGCCAATTCAAACACACCTCAAGCATCTTCTTTGCCAACTCAAAATACAGAGTTCATTCCCCCTTAAGACTTTTGTAACAGCTCCTCCCCACACCTGATAAGATCTTCAGCTAAGTTTTCTACAGTTGCCATTTAAATCTCAGCCTAAATGACAGCTCCCTAGCAATGCCTGTCCCACCCTCCACTCTCATATACCCCCTCACCCAACCTACCACCACCCTGCCTGTGTTATTATCCCAAAGCACATCTCACTACCTAATATTTTTCTAGTTCAATTATCATCGTCTCTCTGCCCTACCAGAATGTTAAGATTATGAGAAAGGAGGTTTTGTTTGTTTTATTTACTGCTCTTTCTTCAAGTTCAGTATTGGAAGTTGGTAGCTATTCAATTTGTGTTTACTGAATGAATAAATGGATAAATGATTGAATGTCACTGCTCTGCCTGAAACATTGTCCACAATCTCCCCCCTCATCCTTTAAGTCAGGGTTCCCCAACCCCCGGGCTGAGGACCGATATTGGTCTGCGCCTGTTAGGAACCGGGCCACACAGCAGGAGGCGAGCAGCGGCGAGTGAGCGCAGCTTCATCTGCTGCTTCCCATCGCTCGCATGACGGCCTGACCTATTCCCCCACCACCACCCGTCTGTGGAAAAACTGTCTTCCACGAAACCAGTCCCTGAAGCCAAAAAGGCTGGGGACCGCTGCTTTAAGTCACAGATTCTGATTATCCCATCCCTCACCCCAT